CTGAGAGACGGCGACACGATGACAGCTCAGAAGTGCTGCCAGAGCTGGAGTGGAACACACAAAGGTTGGGTTGGCATCACGGGTTGAATATGGGCTGGAGCAAGCGAGCTACAAACTTTTAAGATTAAGATAAGAGACTATAAAAAAGTGGCGTCGGTGCGTACTTTTATAACAACTTATGCACATTGGTAGAGGTGATTTTAAGTCAACTAAAGAAAGAGCACATACTTTCCTCAACAGGGACCCTCCAGGTTGTTTTTGAGAATTATAAAAAACAACGTAAAGAAAGAGCACATAGTTTCTTCGACAGGGCAAGCGTCCGAACTTGCACATCTCCTGCTGAGCTGTGACTTCCCATTAGCTCTCAAGTATATCACACTCAATCAATTTATGTCAGCTATTGACTGGGCAGGTGTGAAATCAGTCAACATCGGACATAATTGATCGCGTGTGATGTACTTGAGAGCTAACGGAAAGTCACGGTCTAGCAGGAGATATGCAAGTTCGGATGTTTGCCTGTCAAACCCCCCTCCACCTCATAGTTTCCGAAGTGCCCTCTACCTTTTCCAAAACTTCGATTAAATTTATTTTATTTTACCTTTTTTTTTAAAATTACTTTCCTGCCTTCATAAACCCCAAAGGTGATCCCACTTCCAAATAGTTGCGCACACGCTCACTCTTGTCATGCCCAAGTTTCCCTCCACTTTGTTTCGGGACCAACCTGTTCAACCCTTGTATTCAAACTTCTCTATCCTTTCCTCCCAGTCTGCCTTCACTGTTCCTTCCATCTCTCCTCCTCCTACTTATTTTTTCTTCCACTTCTTCCACTCCTCCTCAACTTTGTTGCCCCACCCTCTATTACATTTGCTCCTCCCTCCCCTCGTCCCGCTCCCATCCCCTCTCCTCTCCCCTGTGTGGTGGCGAAGGGAGGGGTGAGCACATCTGCACACATCTACACACACGTCATACATCCACCCACACACTCACCACAGCAATGAAGCCCTCGTGCGCTGCTCGGGTGGAGAACGTGTCTTTGGTGCGGCCCTTGGGTTGAGGCACATACACGCACACTCTATCAACACACACATGACACACCCACATGCAAAACCCCACACGCGCTCACCACAGCAATAAAGCCCTCGTGCGCTGCTCGCGTGGAGAGAGTGTCCTTGGTGCGACCCTTGCCACCTGGTTTGCGCGGTGGAGGGGGGAGAAACATGGACCAAGCACACAAGGGCATGGAGGTATGGGGGAATGTGGGCATTGGGGGTATGGGGGTATGTGAGCATGGGGGCATGGAGGCATGGGAGCATGCGGGCATGGAGGCACGTGGGCATGTGGGCATGGAGGCACGTGGGCATGTGGGCATGGAGGCACGTGGGCATGTGGGCATGGAGGCACGGGGGCATGTGGGCATGGAGGCACGTGGGCATGTGGGCATGGAGGCACGGGGGCATGTGGGCATGGGGGCATGTGAATAGGTGGGGAGGTGGAGATGTGGGGATGTGGGAAACGGGGACTGTGGGCATCTGGGCAGCACCATAATGCATAGGAAGTCAACGCTAGTCAACGCCAGTCAACGCCAGTCAAATCCACACCGCCAGTCAACGCCATCAACGCACCTGGCAAGTCAACGGCAATCACTCGATGCCCTGCTGCTGCCAAATGCTCGATGGTGCCTGCATAGGTCAGGCAGACACGACTGATGAGGTGAGACGAGGAAAGAGAGGAGGTGGAGAGGCAAGGGCGAGGGGGAGAGCCGCAATGACTCTATAATCTTTTTAAGGCGCCTCAAAAACGAGAGGAGGGAGGAGAGGGTAGGGGGAGGGGGAGAGCTGCAACGACTCTATACTCTTAATATGGAGGAGGACGGATACGGTAGATAAGGAGGGGTTCCGAGAAGTAAGGGGGAGGGAAGGGCAGAGAGGTGACGGGAGGAGAAGGCAAGGAGACGAACCAATGTCTTGGCTTCAAACGATCTCCCATGCAGCACCACCACCGTCATTCCCGAGGGGCGTTGTCATGCAGCAAGAGGAAAACAGGCACTACGTTCCATGTGGCCTTACCAATATCTTTCCACGTCTTGGCTTCAAACGACCGGCCATGCAGCAGCACCACTGTCATTCCCAAGGTGATCTTCCTATGGTGTAGCAGAATACGCCCTACATTTCGTACCGCCTTACCAATGTCTTTCCACGTCTTGGCTTCAAAGGAGCGACCATGCAGCAGCACCACCGTCATTCCCGAAAATCCATCACCCGCAACCCCCGCTCCTCCTCCTCCTCCCGTCCCTGGTTTCCTGGAACCTTCCAGGAACCGCAGCGTCACGCGCTGCCGCCCCTCCTCCTCCGTGATTTCCGGCGGGAGATTCACCACCGTTTCCCTCTCCTCCACTAGGACTTCCGCAGGACGCGCCGCCATCGCCGCGGGGTCGCCGCCGGGATTCACGGCGCGGTCCGCGGAGGCGTAGGAGGAGAGGGCGTCGGACGGCGAGGAGTCGCGGCGCGCGACTAGAAGGACTAGCGCGGTTACTAGGATTGCGACCGTTAGGAGAAATCCTCGAGTCGGCAGGCTGAGCGAATCTATGTACAGTCGCACGAAGCTGCTATTGCTGCTATCGCCGGCTCGCGGCGCGTTCGCATGCGATGTTCCTAGTGACCTGCGCATGAGTGCTGACGTGGCTCGTGGGTATTAGTAAGCCGCGGCTCGCCCTCGGGCCGAAAAACGTATGAGCGGCGTCCTTGTGACAAAAATGAATGAAAACTTTTGCCTAGATTCGAGCAGGAATTGTACGGATGGAAATTTTCCTCGAAATGCTCGTTTGGCGTGACCAGCTGTCAAAACATTCCCGGTTGGGTCAGACCCGGTTTGTAATACAACGGCAGGAGAAAAACGTGGAACTTCTGTGCAGCTGTTTGTGGCGAAAGTAACGCCATTGCGAAATCCGTGATCAATTTATGGACCGCCTGTCGCTTCTGTTGTTGGCCAACGCACTTCAGCGAAAGTAACGCCATCGCGAAATCGCCCCTTAGCAGCGCCTCGACGCCACCAGGCAGCGCGATCTCGCCTCAGCAGCGCCAGACGCCTTAGGCAGCGCGAAATCGCCCCTTAGCAGCGCCAGACGCCACCAGGCAGCGCGATCTCGCCTCAGCAGCGCCAGACGCCTTAGGCAGCGCGAAATCGCCCCTTAGCAGCGCCTCGACGCCACCAGGCAGCGCGATCTCGCCTCAGCAGCGCCAGACGCCTTAGGCAGCGCGAAATCGCCCCTTAGCAGCGCCTCGACGCCACCAGGCAGCGCGATCTCGCCTCAGCAGCGCCAGACGCCTTAGGCAGCGCGAAATCGCCCCCTAGTAGCGCCAGACGCCACCAGGCAGCGCGATCTCGCCTCAGCAGCGCCAGACGCCTTAGGCAGCGCGAAATCGCCCCTTAGCAGCGCCAGACGCCACCAGGCAGCGCGATCTCGCCTCAGCAGCGCCAGACGCCTTAGGCAGCGCGAAATCGCCCCTTAGCAGCGCCTCGACGCCACCAGGCAGCGCGATCTCGCCTCAGCAGCGCCAGACGCCTTAGGCAGCGCGAAATCGCCCCTTAGCAGCGCCTCGACGCCACCAGGCAGCGCGATCTCGCCTCAGCAGGGCGGAATCGCCGCAGAAACCACTAGGTACCACCTGAAACGCTATCATGGAAGACGACCCAGGCCCCGGGGACCCCGGGGTCTGGGCGGGAGACGGCGCAAACAACGGCACGACGGAGGCCATCGGGGGCAAAGGGGGGACAAGCACGGCGGCAGTCACGGGGTCGCTCTGCCTAGGGGCTGGCCACAAAAGACGGGGGGGGCCTGAGGGTGCGCTCCAGAGCCCACGCATCTGTCGCCTCCGCCACGAAGACATTCTGTGCCTCTTCGGCAAACCACCCAAGAGGCGGTGTTTTGAAGCGAACCGCCCGATTTCAGCAATTACAGGTGGACAATCCCCCAAGAACCCCCCCAGCAACCGGGCTGGCCAGAGCGGCGTCTCAGAGCCTTCGGCCGTCAACGAAGAGGGGGGAGAAGCAATGGGCGACAAGAGTCTGGCCGCCGATGTGGCATTGGAGGCTGCGAGGGCAGCTTGGGAAGAGCATCGTAGGCGCTTGCAACAACAGCACAACACTCGCAGGAGTGGCCTACCTGAGAGCGTAACGCGGCACAGTGCCTGCTCGACCGACGTCGACTCTCCCCTAGTCGTGCCACGTCTCGCACGGCGGCAGGAATGGCGGCGTCGGAGGGCGGCAGGAAGAGACAGGCAACGGGAGCCGCCGGTGGGGGGCCGGTGGGACCTGCAGGCGGGCGGACAGCAGGGGAGCCGGGAAAGAGGCCGACAGCCGCCGGAGGGGACGAGGCAGCAGCGGCTGCAGAGCGGAGGGCAGCATGAGCTGCAGGGCGGAGGGCAGCAGCAGCTGCAGAGCGGAGGGCAGCAGCAGCTGCAGAGTGGGGGGCAGCAGCAACTGCAGAGCGGAGGGCAGCAGCAGCTGCAGAGTGGGGGGCAGCAGCAGCTGCAGAGCGGAGGGCAGCAGCAACTGCTGCAGAGCGGAGGGCAGCATGAGCTGCAGAGTGGGGGGCAGCAGCAACTGCAGAGCGGAGGGCAGCAGCAGCTGCAGAGTGGGGGGCAGCAGCAGCTGCAGAGCGGAGGGCAGCAGCAACTGCTGCAGAGCGGAGGGCAGCATGAGCTGCAGGGCGGAGGGCAGCAGCAGCTGCAGAGCGGAGGGCAGCATCAATTGCAGAGCGGAGGGCAGCAGCAGCTGCAGAGCGGAGGGCAGCAGCAGCTGCAGAGCGGAGGGCAGCAGCAGCTGCAGAGCGGAGGGCAGCAGCAGCTGCAGAGTGGGGGGCAGCAGCAACTGCTGCGGAGCGGAGGGCAGCATGAGCTGCAGGGCGGAGGGCAGCAGCAGCTGCAGAGCGGAGGGCAGCAGGAGCTGCAGAGCGGAGGGCAGCGGCAGCTGCAGAGCGGAGGGCAGCAGCAACTGCTGCAGAGCGGAGGGCAGCATGAGCTGCAGGGCGGAGGGCAGCAGCAGCTGCAGTGCGGAGGGCAGCAGCAGCTGCAGAGCGGAGGGCAGCAGCAGCTGCAGAGCGGAGGGCAGCAGCAACTGCTGCAGAGCGGAGGGCAGCATGAGCTGCAGGGCGGAGGGCAGCAGCAGCTGCAGAGCAGAGGGCAGCAGCAGCTGCAGAGCGGAGGGCAGCAGCAGCTGCAGGGCGGAGGGCAGCAGCAGCTGCGGAGTGGAGGGCAGCGTCAGCTGCAAAGCAGAGCACAGCAGGAGCTGCAGAGGGGAGGGCAGCATGAGCTGCGGAGTGGAGAGCAGCAGGAGCTGCAGAGTGGAGAGCAGCAGGAGCTGCAGAGTGGAGAGCAGCAGGAGCTGCAGAGTGGAGGGCAGCAGGAGCTGCAGAGTGGAGGGCATCAGGAGGAGCAGAGTGGAGGGCAGCAAGAGACATTGTGGGTGAGCGATGTGGAGATGGTGGACGAGGCAGGCACCGACGAGCTGGAATCAAGCCCCATGGAGGGGGAGAATGCCAACCCCGACTCCTCGGACCAAGCGGAAAGGCCCCGAGTGCGGGGGCGGGTCCGGAGGCGACGGGCAACCAAACTGCTACAGCTGCAGAGGGGAGGGCAGCAGCAGCTGCAGAGCGGAGGGCAGCAGCAACTGCTGCAGAGGGGAGGGCAGCAGCAGCTGCAGAGCGGAAGGCAGCAGGAGCTGCAGAGCGGAGGGCAGCGGCAGCTGCAAAGAGGAGATCAGCAGCTGCTGCAGAGTGGAGGGCAGCAGGAGCTGCAGAGCCGAGAGCAGCAAGAGCTGCGGAGTGGAGAGCAGCAGCAGCTGCAGAGTGGAGGGCAGCAGGAGCTGCAGAGTGGAGGGCAGGAGGAGCTGCAGAGCGGAGGGCAGCAAGACCCACTGGGGGAGTTGGATGTGGAGATAGAGGCCGAGGCATACACCGACGAGCTGGAATCAAGCCCCATGGAGGGTGAGAATGCCAACCCCGACTCCTCGGACCAAGCGGAAAGGCCCCGAGTGCGGGGGCGGGGCCGGAGGCGACGGGCAACCAAACTACTACAGCTGCAGAGGGGAGGGCAGCAGCAGCTGCAGAGCGGAGGGCAGCAGGAGCTGCAGGGCGGAGGGCAGCAGCCCAATCAGAGCGGAGGGCAGCAGCAGCTGCAGTGCGGAGGGCAGCAGGAGCTGCAGGGCGGAGGGCAGCAGCCCAATCAGAGCGGAGGGCAGCAGCAACTGCAGAGCGGAGGGCAGCAGCAACTGCAGAGCGGAGGGCAGCAGCAGCTGCAGAGCGGATGGCAGCAGCAGCTGCAGAGCGGATGGCAGCAGCAGCTGCAGAGCGGAGGGCAGCAGCCCAATCAGAGCGGAGGGCAGCAGCAACTGCAGAGCGGAGGGCAGCAGCAGCTGCAGAGCGGAGGGCAGCATGAGCTGCAGGGCGGAGGGCAGCAGCCCAATCAGAGCGGAGGGCAGCAGCAGCTGCAGAGCGGAGGGCAGCAGCAGCTGCAGAGTGGAGGGCAGCAGCCCAATCAGAGTGGTGGGCAGCAGCAGCTGCAGAGCGGAGGGCAGCAGGAGCTGCAGAGCGGAGGGCAGCAGCAGCTGCAGAGCGGAGGGCAGCAGCCCAATCAGAGCGGAGGGCAGCAGCAGCTGCAGAGCGGAGGGCAGCAGCCCAATCAGAGCGGAGGGCGGCAGAAACTGCAGAGCGGAGGGCAGCATGAGCTGCAGGGCGGAGGGCAGCAGCAGCTGCAGAGTGGGGGGCAGCAGCAACTGCTGCAGAGTGGAGGGCAGCATGAGCTGCAGGGCGGAGGGCAGCAGCAGCTGCAGAGTGGGGGGCAGCAGCAACTGCTGCAGAGCGGAGGGCAGCAGGAGCTGCAGAGCGGAGGGCAGCAGCAGCTGCAGAGCGGAGGGCAGCAGCAACTGCTGCAGAGCGGAGGGCAGCATGAGCTGCAGGGCGGAGGGCAGCATGAGCTGCAGGGCGGAGGGCAGCAGCAGCTGCAGAGCGGAGGGCAGCAGCAACTGCAGAGCGGAGGGCAGCAGCAGCTGCAGAGCGGAGGGCAGCAGCAGCTGCAGAGCGGAGGGCAGCAGCAGCTGCAGAGCGGAGGGCAGCAGGAGCTGCAGAGCGGAGGGCAGCAGCAGCTGCAGAGTGGAGGGCAGCAGCCCAATCAGAGCGGAGGGCAGCAGCAGCTGCAGAGCGGAGGGCAGCAGCCCAATCAGAGCGGAGGGCAGCAGCAACTGCAGAGCGGAGGGCAGCAGCAGCTGCAGAGCGGAGGGCAGCATGAGCTGCAGGGCGGAGGGCAGCAGCCCAATCAGAGCGGAGGGCAGCAGCAGCTGCAGAGCGGAGGGCAGCAGCAGCTGCAGAGTGGAGGGCAGCAGCCCAATCAGAGCGGAGGGCAGCAGCAGCTGCAGAGCGGAGGGCAGCAGCAGCTGCAGAGCGGAGGGCAGCAGCAGCTGCAGAGTGGAGGGCAGCAGCCCAATCAGAGCGGAGGGCAGCAGCAGCTGCAGAGCGGAGGGCAGCAGCGGCTGCAGAGTGGGGGGCAGCTGCAGCTGCAGTGCGGAGGGCAGCAGCAGCTGCAGAGCGGAGGGCAGCAACAGCTGCAGAGCGGAGGGCAGCAGGAGCTGCAGCAACAGCTGCAGAGCGGAGGGCAGCAGGAGCTGCCCGATGGGGTGCAGCTTGCGAGGCTGCCAGAGGGGGAGATGGAGATGGAGTCGAGCAGACAGGTCTTGCCGGCGTGTTCGAGTGGAGAGGAGCACCCAGACCCTATGCTGACACCCCCGCCCCGCATCCCGTGCGAAACCTGTTATCGCACTTTCACGGAGAGAGGAAAGGCCACGCGTCATATGTCGGCCTGCAGGGCAGCGGACGCCAAGCGCCGTGCACAGGCGCTTGGGTTGACCCGCGACGTCACAGACGACTCGGACAGCGAACCTCCGCCACCACGGGATATCAGTGAAGAGGTGTGGGCCGCAGTTCCCACATGGGACTGGGAGTCGTTTTTCGGGATCGAATTGGTGCCAGGGAGAATCATGCGTCGCATCCCACAGCGCGCAAGACTGGGGGTGCTTGATGCACTAGCTTGTATCCTGAAGCGGCTCAAGTCAAAGGCAGCAGACGAGGCGGCATCCTTGGTGTTTTTGGCCTTCCCTCGTCTTTTCTAAGGGATTCCAACCGGGCAAGGCCAGGGGCAGAGGGCGGCAATTAGGGAGCGGTTGGAGAAGTTTTGGGCTGGGGAGTGGCAGCAGCTGTTTGAGTTGGCGGTGGCGGCGATGCAACCTGCGGCTCGCCCCTTGTCCTTCACCCCACCCGAGCATGATCCTGATGCCGTGCGCCTATCCCGCTGCCGTACAAGGTGCAAAGTGGGAGAATGGAGTCGGGGTTTGGCGTGCCTTACGGCTGGTAGCATCGCTCAGCCCTCTCAGCACATGGTGGACGCGCTACGAGCGAAACACCCATCGTGCGAGTCCGCCATTCCTGGGTGGGTGCAGGAGGAGACAGTCGAGCCTTCCCTTATCCCACAGCTTTCAGTGGAGGTACTCGGCCAGGCGATCCACTCAGCGGCTAGGGCGTCCGCACCAGGACCGTCGGGGTGGGTGACGGAGCACCTGCGCGACACTTTTCTCTCTGAGCCCGCGTATCTGTCCCACCTGCTAGAGGTCTTCACCCAGTGGACCAAGGGAGAGGTAGCGGAGCGCGTGCGACCCTGGCTCACTGCGTCCAACTTGGTGGGCCTGTCGAAGCCGAATGGTGACGTTCGCCCGGTGGCTATAGGCGAGGTGCTCCCCCGCATACTATCTCGGGCCATATGCATCGTGCTTCGCCCGAAGATGATGTCGCACTTTGCTCCGTGTAACCAGTTTGGAGTCGGGTCCAGGTCGGGAGTGGAAGTCCTCGCACATGCCTTTCGCTCCGCCATCTCTACTCACCCGTCGTGGTGTGCGCTGCAAATTGACGTGGCGAACGCTTTCAACTCCTTCCATCGGCGGGAAATGTTTGAGGGTCTTCGACAGTCGCCTTTCAAGGGATTGATTCCATTTCTGCGTGTCTTCTACGGCACTCCTAGCGACCTCTATCTCCGAGCGGGCCCTTTTGTCGAAGCTTTGGCTTCCGAGCGGGGCTCGAGGCAAGGGGATCCATTGGGTCCGTTTCTGTTCGCGTTCACACAGCAGCTGGTTATGGAACCAACCAAAACGGAGTACGCCGACTTACTCTTCCTCAGCTATGCTGACGATACGTATATCCTGGGGCCTAGGGAACGGGTTCTAGCAGCCTATGAGGCCTTGCGGGAACGACTGGACGGGCTGGGTTTGGAGGTGCAGCCGCATAAGTGTAAGCTATGGGAGCGAGGGAGGGACCAGGATGGGGAGGAGAGAAATGAGACTGTCCCGCCCGGCATGCAGCAGACATGGACGGGGCTCACTGTGGTAGGGGTGCCCATTGGGGAGGAGGACTGGGAGGTGGCTAGCCTGCGTCGCCGGCTGACGGAGCTGCATGCACCTGTCCCCTGGCTTCCTCTGCTTGACCACCCACAGATTGCGTCCCATTTGTTGGCGATCGCAGTGTCGGCGCGCCCGATCTACCTCACACGGACGATGCCTCCACGACCTGAGGTTGTGGAGGCTTTTCGGGACTGGGACACGAAGCTGGAAGATTGTTTCGAGGAGCTGTTTCCAGATAGTACCTGGGATCACGATTCGGGGAAGTCCCAGATGGCTCGTTTACAGCTGCACCTTCCTGCCAGACTCGGGGGGTTCGGCATTCGATCTGCGGCTGACCTTAGTCCTCTGTCGTATGCATGTGGCTGGTGCCAAGCAGTGAGCGATGTGGCTCGGTTGGGGGTGGCAGGTGAGGAGCGGATGTTTGAGGAGTTTTTCCGCACGCCCGAGGCTACGACCTTGTTGGACCCCTGGTTTGCGAGAGCAGTGGATCTGCTTCCACAGTCGGTTCGGCAGGAGATGCCACCCCTTGCCTTGTGCACCGCTGATCCGCCTATGCTGCTCTTCCCCACACAACACCGTCGCCTGGCGGTTGAGAGCCTCCAATCTCTTCGAGGCATGGCCCACAACGATGCCACCCTGGCCCGTTTGACATCTCTTCAAGGCCCGGGGGCTGGGGCGTGGGTTTCTGCCGTTCCTTCGCACGAGGAGGCTACCTTCACCGCAGCCGAGTGGAGCATCTGCGCGTCCATGCGCCTAGGCCTCCCTATTCAGCAGCTGATAGTGGCCGGCAAGTGCGCGTGTGGGTTTGAGTTTGCTGATCCCTCTGACCCGCATCATGCCCTTCGCTGCAAGTATCAGTATGCACCTTCTCGGGTTCACGATGCGGTTAAATTTGTGGTGGCGAAGATAGCTAAGGGTGCGGGTGGGATTGTGACCATGGAAGACGACACGTTGCTCCCAGGGAAGAGGGTTGATGTGGCGGTTCGGAAACTGAGGGAGGGGGAGGAGCACGCGCTGGAGGTTAGTGTGGTAGATCCTATCTCGCTATCCGCGCAGCACCATGGACAGATTGGTCGCAAGGTGGGTTTTGCCGCGAGAGAGAGAGAAAAGCGGAAGACGGCGGACTACAAATCGCTTCTACAGCGGCATGGGGGAGTGCAGTTCACACCACTCATTGCTGAGACATGGGGATGCTTGGGGGGGAGTTTTGGACGGTGGCTTAAGAAGCAGGGTGACGCGCAGATCGAGATAGCAAAGACGAAAGGGGCGGCGCGAGCTACGGGAAAGGGTTTCTCGGCTTATTTGCTCGGATCGCTCAAAGCGGCTGTGGGTGTGGCTTTGCAACGGGCTCAGGCGCGTGTGATCTTGTTACGCGCTGCGTCGATGATGAGAGGCCCAGAGGCTGTTTGGGTGGAGCGGGAGGATGTTGAGGAGGAGATGGGATGGGATGCTCCGTGGGCGGATGCACCATACTTGGTAGACATGCGGGTTTAGGGAGTGGGTTTAGGGGGGGAGGTTTGGTTCGATGGGAGTGCAGTTGGGGTGCTTTGATGGGAGGGCTTGATGGTGTTTTAAATGTGTGTGCTATTGGGGTTTTCTTGGGGTTGTGTGTGCTACTTTTTCTTCCTTCTTCCCTGTTTTTCTTCCTCCTATCATTTTTCCCCTATTCCCCTCCTTCTTTCTTCCTCTCTCCTTTTTTCTACTCACGTTATTCCTCCTTTTCTCCTCTCTTCCCGTTTCCACTCCTTTTCCTTGCGTAATTATGCTACATTGTAACAAAAAAAAAAGAAGAAGAAAACTTGTCAGACGAAATTGCAGCCAGCCCTTGACCGCGATGAGCATGACCCGCCCTGAAAGGGGTTGGAGGCATCCTTTTGCGCTCTATCCTCGGTACAGTATGATACGATTGTGGCGCGGGGTGTGATACAGGCTAAGTCGAGTGTCAGTGAAGTGGTAATCTATTGATGCTAAAAATGACACAAGGGTGCTGTTCGCCAGCACCATTATAACTAAAAATGACGGCATAACAATGGGATCAGGAAGGTGGGTCTCGCCTTCCTGATCCCGTCAGTTAGAGTTCGTTAACCTCCGTCAGCTTGGTCAGCCCGTGAAAAATGTGCCGAGCCTCACCTATCGTCCGAACCATTTAACAAAGTGGGCGTCTGGCGAACGCCCACTTTTGTACACCAATTTTTACATTTCGACGGCATATGGAAGCGGGGACGAAACTTCCGCCACAGGCAAAACACCATCCCCTTGCAATGCCATCGTCATGCCGCGTTTTTCGAAGCACAGCGGTGGCACAGCGGACGCATTGATGTGCAGGGGAACCCTCGAACATGCCTTCAGTTTGACACAGGGGTACAAGTATACCCTAAAGGTGTTTGTGGAGTGTCAGCTGTGTCTGGCATGCGCACGAGGTGGGGGGAGTTGTGCTTGAGCGGGGTGTGTTTTATTTGCGTTTTTTACCCACGTTGAGCAATTTTTGGTCAGCGGGCAGCGCAAGGGTCAGGGATGACCAAATTTCGCGCCATTGGGGGGAAGGTGGGGATGGACCTTCCCGACGCGGTTGCGAAATTTCGCCTTTTTGGCGCGCGTAGTTTCTCTGGCGGCATTTCGCCCAAACCGCGGAGGAGGGTTCCACCCCCGTTTCCATATGCGGTCACGACGCTGATGCCGTTTTTTTCAAATAAAAAAACGACGTGCTGGCGAACAGCACAAGGTTGAAAACTGCACTTGAAAACTCCATGCTGAAATTCCACTTCCAGACAAGCCCAAAACCGTGGCGTATGGTGGCTTTTCGTTGTTCAAATCCTGTTGCCACTGACAGAAATACTGTACATCCAAACATTTGATGATTGGTAGCAAGGCTTTGTTGTCCCCGAAGTGATCTCTTTCGCCGCTTTTCTCATGCGAACGAAAGGCGAAGACGAATGGCGGTAACATCGTGTTTCGCATTGCCCTCTTCAGGCACCGCAATGTCCGCTACTCTTCCCGCGTTTGCACATTCTTCATTACTGTCACCGTCACAACTCTCGATACAGTCACGTCCTTCCTCGACGCTAACCTGGTCGATACTGTCACAATCGCGACCACCCCGGTACCCGCTTAGAACCTCTTGCGCCTCCTCCGCTCCCCTCTCTTCCGCCTATTCCCGTTTTTTTACCCCTTTTTCCCCGCATCTTTCCGCCAAGGGCCTGTTCCCCCAGAGCCATGCCTCCCCCGGTCTCCGCAAGCCCCTGGCTCCGCGACCCCGCCGACTCCTCATCTCCGCCGCCGGGCGCAGCAAAGCCGCCCCGCGCGTGGTTCGGCGGAAAGTTTCCCCCGCGCACATGCGCCGGCTGCAGAAGCGCCCGGGCGGAATCCACCGGACGAATCTGTACCGCCGCGGGCGGCGCGGCGGGCGGCAGCTGAGTCAAGACGAGCTGACGTCACGCCTGCTGCAGAGCCCGCAACTAGCGGCGGGAAACGCGGCGGGCTGGCCGCTGCTTAGCGCGTGCCTCTCCCCGCTGCCGTTAGCGCGCGAGGATCGGGAATGGATTTGGGCGAATGGGGACGAGATTAAGGAGGGTTTAGGGCTTTTGATGGCGGAAGGGGGGGATTGGTGGGAGACTGTAGGGGCTGGGGAGGAGGAAGAAGAGGACGGGGAAGGGGAAGAGGGGGAATGGGAATATGGGGATGATGAATATGAGGAGGGGGAAAGTGAAGCGGAGGAGGAATGGAGAGGCGAAAGGAGAGATGAAAGGAGAGACAATGTGGAGGCCAGAAGCGGGGCTGATAATAACGGGGATAGCAGTGCTGTAAGAAGAGAGCCTGCAGCAGGAAGGGCAGGAGAGTCAGTGGCAGCAGCAGCAGTGGCTGGAGCAGCAACGGCAGAAGCAGCAGCGATAGGAGATAGCAGTGTGGTTGAATGGAGTCAAGAACTAGGCAGGAGAGGTTTCGGGTTGGGGGAAAGGAGGGACGCTGGGGCTGGGGGGATGGGAGGAGAGGAGGATATCCACGTGGCAGAAGAGGATTCGTTCAACCCTGCCAGCAAGCTAGACGAGCTCCTATACCTCTCATACATGCACAGGTGAGTGCCGGGTGTCACAGGTGAGTGCCGGGTGTCACAGGTGAGCGTTTTGGGTCTCGAAGTTATAGGTGGGTGTCTGCCATTTTGGCTAAGTGTGGTATAGCTTAGTGATATACAGCATAGGTGAGGTGAGGGTAGATCACTAAGATCAATTGAGGTGAGGTGAGGTGAGGTGAGGTGAGGTGAGGTGAGGGTAGGTGTCAACTGAATTCAGGTCAATCTTTGGTTCTCCTGTGCGTTTCTGGGAGGCTTTATGCTATCGCTTCGTTCTCCCCCCCCCCCCCCCCCCACCCTCTCCACGCTACACCGCACCACACCACACTGCTCTGCACCTCACTGCACCCCAGGGACCAGTCGGGCAAGTCCCGGTTTCTCAAGGTGGCGGGGTCACGGCTGGCCTCACGGTCATGGCTGGCGTTTCTTTACGGTTCGTGCTTAACGTTTTTGTGCCGCCCTTTTCCCCCACATTTCATCTCATCTCATCACCACTCTACACCACACCACGCCGCACCACACCATCTCCCATCCCCCAGGGATCAACCTGGCAAGCCACGGTTTCTTCTCAAGGTGGCGGGGTCATGGCTGGCGTTTCTTGATGGGGTTTGTGATGAGCACGTTTGTCCCTCCCTTCTCCGCATCACATCGCATCACATCACCCCCCTCCCTTCAGGGATCAACCTAACAAGTCACGGTTTCTCAAGGTGGCGGGGTCACGGCTGGCGTTCTTAGGCGGATCCGTGCTGACCGTGCGCTTCTCCCTCCCTTTTCTCCTCACCTCGTCACACCACACTATACCACACCCCTCAGGGACCAGCCCAACAAGTCACGGTTTCTCAAAGTGGCGGGGTCACGGCTGGCGTTCTTTGGCGGATCCGTGCTGACCGTGCTTGTCCCTCCCTCCTGTTTCCGCTCACCTCTTCACACCACACCACATCGCACCCCATCCCACCCACCGCACCACACCCCCCAGGGACCAGCCCGGCAAGTCACGGTTTCTCAAGGTGGCGGGGTCACGCCTGGCGTTCTTAGGCGGGTTCGTGCTGGAGCTGGCTCTGGCTGAGATGCTGTTGCAGGTGAGACGGTGCTGGTATGGTGGTGGTGGTGATAGTGGTGCAGGGGAGATGCTCGCAGGTGCGATGGTGCATGGTGTCACAGACAGGCGTTTCTGGGCGGGTTTGTGCTGGAACTGGCTCTGGCGGAGATGCTGCTGCAGTTGAGATGAAGGATGGTACGGTTGTTGTGATAGTGGTGTGTTGCTGCTGGTGAGGTGCTTGCAGGTGAGATGGTGCTTGGCAGGTGTCACAGACAGGCGGTGTGGGAGGGAGAGTTTGTGCTGGAACTGGCTCTGGCGGAGATGCTGCTGCAGGTGAGGCGAATGGCATGAGTTGGAGGGGGGCTAGGAGGCAGTATGGGGGTTAGTGTTTGAGCTGGCTCTGCTGGAGGGTTTGTGCGAGTTGGCTCTGGCGGAGATGCTGCTGCAGGTACAGTGGTGCTGGTGCTGGTGCTGGTGCTGGTGCTGCTGCTGCTGCTGCAGGTACGGTGGTGCTGGTGCTGCTGCTGCAGGTATGGTGGTGCTGGTGCTGGTGGTGTTGCAGGTATGGTGGTGCTGGTGCCATTGCTGCAGGTGAGAGGGCTAGGATTTTTATTATTTTTCTTTTCTTTTCTTTTTAACAATTTCCAGGCCGTTTTCAAGGACTCTATGTTGATATCAAAATTGAAAATTATCAAAAGTGATTCGCATAAACAACCTGCAAAAGAAGGAGAGGGCCAGGAAATTGGGCAACAAGTGCTCTGCTACTCACTGGTCACTCACCCTCCTGCTGATCTCTCCCTCCTCGTGCTTCTCTCACAACCCTCCTTTCCAGTGCTACCCACGCGAGCCGGTAGCATCGCTAAGGGAGAGGGCGAGGGAGCTTGGCAACAAGCGCCGCTTCCCTCTGCTGCTAACCCAGGCCGGGTTGGACCGGCTGGTGTTTCCAGGAGCCCTACTCATGCGCGCCCCTACTAACCTGCGCCAACTAGCCGCCAAGTGAGTGAGCACCTTGTGTTTGGATGGGGACTGGCTTCGAAACCAGTCACTTGTGGTGCGGCTGCTGCCAGCGCTTCCCTCTGCTGCTCACGCAGGCCGGGTTGGACCGCCTGGTGTTCCCCGGAGCTTTACTCATGCGCGCCCCCACCAACCTCAGGCAACTCGCTGCCAAGTGAGTGAGCTGCCTGTGGTTGAATGGTCTTTGGCTTTGGAAACTATCACTTGTGCTGCAACTGCTAGCGTCCCGTTGCTGCTCTCTTAGGCCGGGTTGGACCGCCTGGTGTTCCCCGGAGCTTTACTCATGCGCGCCCCCACCAACCTCAGGCAACTCGCTGCCAAGTGAGTGAGCTGCCTGTGGTTGAATGGTCTTTGGCTTTGGAAACTATCACTTGTGCTGCAACTGCTAGCGTCCCGTTGCTGCTCTCTTAGGCCGGGTTGGACCGCCTGGTCTTCCCCGGAGCTTTACTCATGCGCGCCCCCACCAACCTCAGGCAACTCGCTGCCAAGTGAGTGAGCTGCCTGTGGTTGAATGGTCTTTGGCTTTGGAAACTATCACTTGTGCTGCAACTGCTAGCGTCCCCTTGCTGCTCTCTTAGGCCGGGTTGGACCGCCTGGTGTTCCCCGGAGCTTTACTCATGCGCGCCCCCACCAACCTCTGGCAACTCGCTGCCAAGTGAGTGAGCTGCCTGTGGTTGAATGGTCTTTGGCTTTGGAAACTATCACTTGTGCTGCAACTGCTAGCGTCCCGTTGCTGCTCTCTTAGGCCGGGTTGGACCGCCTGGTGTTCCCTGGTGCTCTGCTCATGCGCGCCTCCCCCACCAACCTGCGCCAGCTCGCTGCCAAGTGAGTGAGCTATCCCTGTGGCTTGTAGCATTTGAGCATGGTGACTTCAACCGGGTTGCTTCCCTCTGCTGCTCACTTAGGTCAGGCAGGGCTGGACCGCCTGGTCTTTCCATGACCTCATGTGTGCCCTGCTTGCCCTTCCATTTGTCTCTCCCTCCCCCTTACAGGAGTGTGTTCACCTCCCTCATCGCCTCAGCCTACTTGACTCGAGGCAGGAGGTGTGCTGCTGTTTGAGGTGTTCAGGCTGGACCCCGACCATCCCGACATGCGCCCACTGACCCTCTATGCTGTAGCACGTTCACCCTTTTCCCATTGCAGGAGTGTGTTCACCTCCCTCATTGCGTCAGCCTACCTGACTCGGGGCATGCCGGAGGTGTATCGGCTGCTGTTTGAGGTGTTCGGATTGGACCCCCACCATCCCGACATGCTCCCCAAGATCGTTCCTGCTCCCTCCTCTACCATCCCAACAGCAGCAGTGTTTGAGAGGTCCGACATGCTCCTCACTCTCCCACCCAACCCACGTTCCCCCCTGCAGGAGTGTTTTCACATCGCTAATTGCCTCGGCATACCTCACACGTGGCATGCCGGAAGTGTACCGGCTGCTGTTTGAGGTGTTTGGTTTGAACCCTGACCATCCTGACATGCTCCCCAAGAAGCCTCCTGTGTGCTCTTCCTCCCCACCCCGGCAGGAGTGTGTTTACTTCCCTCATCGCTTCTGCATACCTCACAAGAGGCATGCCGGAAGTCTATCGGCTTCTGTTTGAGGTGTTTGGATTGGACCCAGACCATCCCGAGATGCAACCCAAGATCGAGCGCGTGCGCGACGAGGATTTCCTGCATGCTGACCTGGACGGCGACCCGCTGACGTGGCGCGACGTGGCGTGCTACCAGGTGCGTGTGTGGGTGGAAGGGTGGGAAGTTTGGTTTTGGTGGGTGGGTAGGAGGGTGAATAAGTGGATGGTGGATGGAAGGGTGGGGGCTTTGGACTCTTGAGCTGCTTGATCTTCTGTTGTGCAAGTCCCCTTTTTTTAATTTTTGTTTTTGGGAGGGGGGTGGGGGGGGGGGGGGGGTGAATGTTTATGCCTCACCTTACTTCCCCTTGTGTCCCCTCCTTTTCACTTCCTTCCTACTCGCTCCTCCCCTCCCTCCCCCCCTCCAGCCCCCCCCAGATTCCCTCTTTCCAAACCCTCGTCTCTTCCACGCGTGTGTGCCGCCCGGAATGTCGCGATTCCGCGGCTCCGATTGGATGCACCGATCCCTGGAAGCAGCACTGAGAGCACTGGCGTGGCCCATGCCAGCAGAGGCTGGAATGACCTTAGAAGCAAAACAGAGAAGGAATGAAGATATGGTGATGGCACTGCAGGTGAGAGGAATGGAGACAAAGACTTGGCAATGGCGACAAGGTTGCGTTGGTGCCTCTGAGTGAGTGGACGGGTGTCAATCATGGTACCTCTCTGATTGGATGCTCCGATGCCTGGAGGCAGCTCTGAGGGCGCTGGCGTGGCCGAGACCAGCCGAAGCAGGGATGAGCTTGGAGGCGAAACAACGGCGCAACGAGGACATGGTGATGGCACTGCAGGTGAGTGAGGGATGAGAGTGAGGGATGAGGGATGAGAGTGAGAAGGGACTTGAAATCCATGCGGTTCCGCGGCTCTGATTGGATGCACTGATCCCTGGAGGCGGCACTGAGGGCACTGGCGTGGCCGAGACCAGCAGAGGCTGGAATGAGCTTGGAGGCGAAGCAGAGGCGGAATGAGCTTGGAAGCAAAGCAGAGGCGCAATGAAGACATGGTGATGGCACTGCAGGTGAGGGGAATGGGGGGTATGAGAACGGTTGAGGCAAGGATGATTCAGGTTGGATGCACTGATCCCTGGAGGCGGCACTGAGGGCACTGGCGTGGCCGAGACCAGCAGAAGCAGGGATGAGCTTGGAGGCGAAGCAGAGGCGGAATGAAGACATGGTGATGGCTCTGCAGGTGAGGATAAGGGGGTATGAGAGTGGTTGAGTTGATGCATGGATGGATCTGATTTGATGCACCGATCCCTGGAGGCGGCACTGAGGGCACTGGCGTGGCCGAGACCAGCAGAAGCAGGGATGAGCTTGGAGGCGAAACAGCGAAGGAATGAAGACATGGTGATGGCACTGCAGGTGAGGGAGTGGTTGCAGTCTTCCTTACAACTTAAAGCCACACCTGTTACAATCACACCCGTTATGACTTGCCCCCTCTCCTCCGGCTGGGCTTACTGCACTTGTATTTGTACTGAGCATAGCGTGCTGCCACAATCTTTTGGCCTTTATTCACCTTTATGCTCGCTATGCTCACCACAAACTCACATTTACGTTCCTGATCCTTGCCCCTCCGCCCCATCACACGACCACCCTACCACAACCCCCCCCCCCCCTCTTCCTCTCCCCCCCCAACCCCCACTTCTTTCCAGCTCTGCTTCATCCACCCATCTCTCTACCGCGCGGAGCACCCCCGCTTCTGCTACGACCCACCCCCGCTTCCCCTTCGCGCCAGTACTGACCATTCCACCCCTTGTGCTCCCCTTTCTCCCTGCACCACAAACACCCCATCACAACAAACCCCTTCCCAGCTCTGCTTCATCCACCCATCTCTCTACCGCGCGGAGCACCCCCGCTTCTGCTACGACCGGCTTGAATATGTGGGGCAGAAGATCCAGGTGAGGACTGTGAGGAGCTGGCAGGAAGTAGCAAGTGAGGGGTGGCAGGGCAGGGCATAGCAGGTATGGCTTCCCAGAAGTTACCACAAGGAGAACCCCCGCTTCTGCTACAACAGGCTTGGGTACCTGGGGCTTAAGATCCAGGTGAGGGTAGGTGAGGTGAGAGCTGTGAGGAGGGGGGTGGATCAGCCTCTCTACCGAGCGGAGCACCCCCGCTTCTGCTACGACCGGCTTGAATACCTGGGGCAGAAGATTCAGGTGAGAGCTGTGAGAATATCTCGGGGACTAAAGTTTGATTCATCCTCTATTTCCTCTATTACCTCGGGCAGAAGGTAAAGCGAGATCATGAACAAAACAAAACAAAATGTGTTTTTTCTTTACCCTGTTGTCCATTTGTCGGATGTGCTTCTATGCAACCAACCAGGATCTGGTCCTAGCAGAGAACCTCCTACAATCACATCTCGACGCGCCGATCCTCTGGCTCTCCGACCGCCATACCAAGCTGCTTCGGAACCGAGCCTGCGGCCGCTACCTCCGAGCCTCAGGCCTGCACGATCACGTGGAGCTTTCAGAGGAATCAAAGCAGTATTTCTACGCGAATAAAAAGTTCCAGAACTTGGTTTCGGGAGCGGTGTTCCAGGCTGTTCACGGGGCGGCTTATATCGTGTATGGGAAGCCGGAGGTTCGGCGGTTGATGTTTGGGATGTTTGAGATTGATGGTGGCACGATGCACACCATGTAATGCGATGTGGGTGTTACAGTGTAACAATGGTGAAATCTTGTGACATGGCAGTGTGATAGAAGATGCGTAAAAGTCTCTGTTTTGTACATGTGGGTTGATCAGGTCAAGTTTTGTATACGGTTGCTTTGCGATACCGAAACAGGACTGCGTTTGCTTGGTTATGAACAGCATAACGATGGCATGTAGTACCTGTAGGTATATAGGGTTTATATTGAATTCACATTGCGTACTGGTAGTTGCAAGTGTACACCACCAGCAAGTTGTAACTGTTTAGTTTACTTTCTAGATGGGAAGAAAAGACTGCACACACACAGAAAGACAGAGGGGGTTTGCAGCATTGGGAAAATAGCGGGTGAAGAGTGGGAGAGGACGGGGAAAGGAAGGGCAACAGGGAAAATTTGAGAAGAGGGTGGCAAGCGAAACAAGGAAGAAGGGAAAACGGAGGGAGGAGGAAGGGAAAGCGGGATGGGGAGAGGAAAAAGGAGGAGGCAGGGAAAGGGAAAACAGGAACAGGGGGGTGAACGCAGAAGGGGGAGGAAAACTAACGGCACCTGGAAGTGTTGTCGTGAACGATCCGAGCAAACTCCTCAACATCCTCCACTCCCCTGTACCCACACACCACCTCCAGCACTTGCCTGTGGCACAAGGGAGAATTGAAGAGAGGAATCCACCTTTCGCTCAGAAGGAGGGTCTAATTGCATGGCAGCACAGGAGCAGGCGCTATTTAGGCAATGCAAACAGGGGAGTATTTCCACGTCCTCCACTCCCTTGCATTGCATGGGAGAAAGCATGAGGTGACTTTTGAGCCGACTCAAAAGAAAGCATGAGAGGAACCAACCACTCATCCGGCCCTACTCGCCTCCCCAGCACAGCACATGTTACCTTAACACATGTCCCATGCGTAACTCATACTCCATGCGTGCTCCAGTCCTCTGCACATCACATCACAGAACATGTTACCATAACCCACACCCCATGCCGCATGCCCACCTGATGGCACACGGCTCGTTTCGACCCTTCACCATTGCATCTTCCAAATGCGCTTCCTTCTTCTTGGCTTCCCGTGCGCTTGCCCTGCCCCACTCCCCCTTACTTCACAGCACATGTTACCACATCCCATACCCCATCCCTGCACCCACCGAACGGCGCATGGCTCGTTTCGACCCTTCACCATGGCTTGTTTCGACCCTTCTTCCTCTTACTCCAAATGTGCCTCCTTCCTCTTGGCTTCTCACATGCTTGGCCCACCCCTCCTTGTATCACAGCACATGTCATCCACACCTCATACCCCAACCCCCACCTGATGGCGCACGCCGCACGGCTCGTTTCTGCCCTTCACCATCGCCTCCTCTGAATGCGCCTCTTTCTTCTTTGCCGCCCATTTGCTCGTCTCACTCCTCCTTGCATTACATCACAACACACCACATGCTACCATGCCCCACACACATCTGATGGCACACGGCTCATTTCTCCCCTTCACCATCGCCTCCTCCGAATGCGCCTCTTTCTTCTTTGCTGCCCATTGGCTTGCCCTACCCTACTCCTCCTTACATCACAGCACATATAACCCTAATCGCACCTGATGGCGCACGGCTCGTTTCTCCCCTTCACCATTGCCTCCTCCGAATGCGCCTCTTTCTTCTTTGCTGCCCATTGGCTTGCCCTACCCTACTCCTCCTTACATCACAGCACATATAACCCTAATCGCACCTGATGGCGCACGGCTCGTTTCTCCCCTTCACCATTGCCTCCTCCGAATGCGCCTCTTTCTTCTTTGCTGCCCATTGGCTTGCCCTACCCTACTCCTCCTTACATCACAGCACATATAACCCTAATCGCACCTGATGGCGCACGGCTCGTTTCTTCCCTTCACCATCGCCTCCTCCGAATGCGCCTCTTTCTTCTTTGCTGCCCATTGGCTTGCCCTACCCTACTCCTCCTTACATCACAGCACATATAACCCTAATCGCACCTGATGGCGCACGGCTCGTTTCTGCCCTTCACCATCGCCTCCTCCGAATGCGCCTCTTTCTTCTTTGCTGCCCATTGGCTTGCCCTACCCTACTCCTCCTTACATCACAGCACATATAACCCTAATCGCACCTGATGGCGCACGGCTCGTTTCTGCCCTTCACCATCGCCTCCTCCGAATGCGCCTCTTTCTTCTTTGCTGCCCATTTGCTGCCCACGAAGCGGTGGCCGGCGTGTCTCGGCCGCACATCACAGTAAGGCGAGTCGGTTTCAAGCATGAGACGATTGGGAGGTATACCCGCCATGGCTTTAAGGTTGTCCTCCGTCTTCAGTGAACAACCGTTGATTCCTGCAATGGAGGGATGGGACGATGGGACGCAAGGGATGGGGAGGAGAAGGGAAGGAGGGAGAGGGGTAGAGAGGTGTGTGGCAGCGGTATCACATCCCAATAAGGCGAGTCGGATTCAAGCATGAGACGCTCAGCAGGGATCCCCGCCATGGCTTTAAGATTGTCCTCAGTTTTCAACGAACACCCGTTGATGCCTGGATAGGGAGATGGGGAGCAGGCATGCGGACGCAAGGGATGGGGAGGAGAAGGGAAAGAGAGGGGAGAGTAGAGAGGCGTGTGTTGGCATCAGCACATCACAGTAGGGGGAATCGGTTTCAAGCATGAGACGCTCAGCAGGAGCCCCTGCCATGGCTTTAAGGTTGTCTTCTGTTTTCAACGAGCAACCGTTGATTCCTGGATGTGTGTATGGGGAAAGGGAAAGCAGGTGGGAGAGGAGCAGGGAAGGATGGGGAGACGTAAAGAGGGTTGCAGTGGCCGGTGTATCGGATCAACTATTTGGGTTTTTTAGTCGACGCAAAGATCAACGAGGTGACTTTTGAGTCGACTCAAAGATCAACCATGGCCTATGGATGGACAGCTTGAGCTTTGCGAGAAGGCATCCCGCTCCGCTCCTCGCATGAAAATGCACGTGCAAGAAGTGAACTTCTGAGACCTCTCTCTCCTCGCATGAGAATGTTTTGTGGAGCAAGGACCGCACTGCACCACTCCCATCCCACACGGGGCCAGGGCACTTGAGTCCCCAGGCCGGATTTCTCTCCCGCTCTCTCTCACCGATGGACAGCTTGGGCACTGCGAGAATGGCGTCCCTCTCCTCGCACGCGCCTGTGAACGAATGCACCACTCCCCCCACGAACCTACAGCATCGCACATCCATGAAAAAACAGGAACAAACAGGGGCAAGGTGAATCTTGAGTCAACCCACGAGAACCAACCAGGGAGGGGAGGTTACTTCTTAATCAACTCACACAAACCAGGAACCAGTCGGAATATCAACCCTTACCTCCAGTTGGATTGCCCACTCCTCCCCTACCTTACCCCCCAACGTTCCCAACCTTCCCAGTCCTTCTCCGCCCTCCCCACCCTCACCTGCTCTCGTTCCTCTTCACAATCTCTAGGAAATCGTCAGCAGCAGCACGCATGTGCAGGAACATGGGCAGAGAAGCTGGGTGGTGGCCTCGAAACAAGTAATCTGCAGTTGACTACACTATACTCACACCCGCTCCGCTCCTCCCACCCTCCGCCCTCCCCACCCTCACCGGCTCTCGTTCCTCTTCACAATCTCTAGAAAGTCTTCAGCTGCAGCGCGCATGTGCAGGAACATGGGCAGCTGGGTGGCTTGGGCGAGGTCGAACTGGAGCTCGAAGTACCTAAACAGCAGGGAAAGAGGGGATAAAAACGTTTAAAAGGGCAACTGCAGGAGGAATCGGGGCAGCTGGGTGGCCTGGGCGAGGTCGAATTGGCTCAAAGTACCTTTGGGAAAAGGAGTGAGGAAGGGGAGAGATGAGGCAGAACACAAGCCGGTCATAGTCCAGCCCACACAGATATCCCCTGTGCTGCATCTCACTGCCTTTCACTCTCCCTCCCCCTCCCTTCACCCCATCCATTCAACTCACTTCTGCTGCACCTCCTTGGGGAAAAACGCAAGGCGGTCATAGTCCAACCAACACTCGCACACTGCACAAGGAATACAGAGGCACATGCCCCTGTACTGCTGCACCTCCTGTGACTCTCCCTCTCACCTTTTCCCATTCAACTCACTTCTGCTGCACCTCCTTGGGGCAGAACACAAGGCGGTCATAGTCCAACCCACACTCGCCCACTGCCACCACCTGCAGCAGCAGGGGCAAAGGCAAGTGTGCGCTTTTGAGTCGACTCAAAATCAAACTCAGTACATGTGGTTTTGAGTCTGCTCAATAGCAGAACACAAGGCGGTCATAGTCCAACCCGCACTCGCCCACCGCCACAACCTGCAAAATGAGGGGCAACGGATGGAATGGAACAGTATGACATCTGAGCACTCCATAAGGGGGCCAAAGCATGGAACATTATGAATCCAATGCGATGCGACTCCCCTTTGGCCGTATCTTCTGCAGCCAGAGAGCTTCAGTAGCGATTGAAGTTGCTGCTTTTGAGCCGACTCAAAAGTCAGCTTCAGTAGCGATTGAAGTTGCTGCTTTTGAGCCGACTCAAAAGTCAGCTTCAGTAGCGATTGAAGTTGCTGCTTTTGAGCCGACTCGAAAGTCAGCTGCAGTAGCAATTGAAGTTGCTGCTTTTGAGCTGACTCAAAAGTCAGCTTCAGTAGCGATTGAAGTTGCTGCTTTTGAGCCGACTCAAAAGTCAGCTTCAGTAGCGATTGAAGTTGCTGCTTTTGAGCCGACTCAAAAGTCAGCTTCAGTAGCGATTGAAGTTGCTGCTTTTGAGTTGACTCAGAAGTCAGCTTCAGTAGCGATTGAAGGTGCTGCTGCTTCAGAACTCTGGGAATTCTTGAACTTCCTAGAGAGAAATTGTCCCTTCACCCAGACACACCTTGCCTTTGGCCTTCCCTTCTTCTGCCAGCTTCAGTAGCGATTGCAGGTGCTGCTGCGGATCGCCACTCGCATCAAACTTCTGAGAACGGAATGGGAACGAGGAGCAGGGACAGGAGGAGGAGAGGAAGGAAAAAGGAGCAGAAGGGGAACGG